GATTGCGGACTTTTCTGCAGCTATTCAGCTTCTCTATCGCAGCCTACAGATTGTACCTCATAATTTTAGAGAAAAAGAAATGTGTGCTCGGCAGTGCTGGAGTTAATTTATTCGACGCGAATTTGAATAATATCAGCTGAACCAACAGAGCTTTTTGCCCTTCATATTGTTGTTGGCTTGATGTGAAAGAAAGGCACATCCTCGGAGACTCCGCTTATGGTGGGGAGAATTGACTATTCAATACCATTTTTTCCTGAATTCTTCGCTGAATGGACAGGTCCCACTCCTCCCACAAGAGCAAAACCATCTCGATAATGGCGTGTCCCTCGCTACCTCTTAATAGGGTGTAAATGGCGTAGTAGCGCCGCTTCCCATGTGCACAATTCGGGCATCTAACTACAGTTCAAATTGCTCCCACGCCAACGAAGGTTACCTTCGGATCAGATCGGTTACTTGACAGCAGGATGAAGGCACTTTTATCCTGATAAGCTCCATTAGGAGGTACTAGGCATGGCCTCCTAGTAAAAGGTAGGGAGAATAAGGTGAATTTGAACGATTCAAATAACCACCGGTGCCATCAAATGGGCAAAAAGTCTAAATTGCTATTGGTTGAACGCACTTGTTACACCACAAATGCATCCATGCTAGCTGATTCATAACTTTAGGTAGCGCCTTCATGCATGGGACACTTTTGAAATATTGCTCTGTCCCTCAGCGGCTTTGAAAACTATTGCCTCGAAAATTGCTCCCAAAACTGAGCTGCGGGCTTCTATAAAATCCACTTGAAGTAATTCGGTGTTCTTTCAGAGCCTGTGTAAACAACATGTTCAAGAATTGCAATGTGTGAGTAACTATGGAAAGACTCTTATCGCAGAGTTGAAGGACAACATCGTCGAGCTGGAATGGACCGACTGATCCTCATAAGGCTGTAGTAACAGCGCTAGTAGCATTCTTCTTACGTATTAGTACGTAGTGCGTCGCAGCGTGGTGCGATCAGCGTCCCAACGCGAAAACCGACAATGTTTATTACCATCTTTATATCACTGTGATGTCGCCTGGTAACAAACACGGAATGGTCCCTCTTATACTTGCGTAGTTGCTATCAGACAGCGTGGTAACAAGAAATAAAGGCTTTCTGCGTAGTTTCGCATTGGCCCCTCGTGCTCAGCAGGGTTAGTTGGAGTAGAACTGAGCGTGCAACTAACCATAAGAATGGTAGCTACTTCCAGTTGGGTGAAGTTTCGGCGTTATCACCTCATTAAGAGCCTGCGAAAACGAAAGGTATTCAAGATTTGATTTAGTCAAGCGCTCTCCAACTTGAGAAGCCATTTGCCATGGTCGCACCGAGCCGCGCCGCAAGCGTTCTCTCATGTGTCACGTGTTGGAGTCACATATAGGTTGTGACTCCGACCTCGGGGCGAATGCTATCCTTCTACTGAGGAGAGAGGAACAAAAGTAGGTGCTATCGCAAAATACAGGGGCTTGTTGTGGAAATCCACTAAACCCTCGTAAAACTTCTTCGAGACGGATGGACTAAACTTAAGGTGGGTGAGGAGACTCTAACGTGCATGAGCGATTTTCGTTTTTCCCAAACTTTCTATCCCCTGTGGGCTTAGTTCCACGGAGGTCACCCTCCCCCTATTTTGCGATA